ACTTCCACCAATCAAAATTGCTGCCTAAGCATTTAATTCCAGAAAACAGAAGTATGCAATGATGCAGGTGTGAACTGAAAGTCTGTGTGCTGCTTTGCAAGAATTAGTTTGCATCTGCATTAGTTGAAACACTGGTCAATCAGATTTCACAAACTTTTTTTTTTTTTTTTTCTCTTTTAAAATACTCTTTGGAGTGGTAAGTTGTATTTTAAAAGTATCTCGGGAGGTTATACTCAGTTGGATATCTCCACCTTCTTTATAGTTCGCAGTCTTTATTTCCTTGTCCTTTAAGGGATATTGAGTAAGGAGGACTAACGATATTTTAATCCTAAACTGTTTTGTTTTTTTTTTCCAAAATTTTTGGTCTTCATGTTTGGGATTTTTCTTTTTTTCTCAAACCTTTCATGTCCAGTCAACATATAAAGACCTGCTGGTTTACAGCATCAGCTCAAGTGGTTTGCACCGGTGTGTAATATTTCACCTTAATCCTTTAGTAGTGCCATTACATTTTCAGAAATCCCTGTGTATCTATAAAGGAAATGGTGGCAGACTGTAGCATAATATGTATTCCTGAAGCTTCTGTTTTCCTAATTGTCACCTAGCCTGCAGACGCAAATTATGCCCTTCTTCCTCCAGGTTTGAGAGACATGGCAGTAGGCAAAAATTGCAGCTCTAATGCCATCACGGCTTTCTAATAAAAGCACAGATCGAAAGGTAGATGCTTGAATCATTTATTTCCAAAGTGTAATTTCCCTTATTATTTTACTGTGCCTTTATCTAGTGTACATTTTATAGTTTCTTTTTCTGGAATGGGATTAGAATGCAGGACAGAAGTATTCTATATGCCAAAAATAAGACTCTCGTAGATTAGGCTGCGTTGATTGGAATATTAGAGGGATGTTATAACATGCTAATACAGTTTATTAGGTTGCCAGCTTATCTGTGTAAATGTTCCAAAAGGTATTAGACATGTGTACACATAGTGTACAATGTTTGTTTAATTTACTGGATTATATTTGCTTACGAAGTTTTACATCTCGTTAAAAGATCTGTTTTATTATAGTAATCTCATGCCTATACAAGTAGCACTATAGGTCTAGAGATATATTGTACTTGTAATTTTAAATTCATACTGCTCTCTAGTGGGGAATGCTTTCAGTGCAAAAGATTATATATATATTAATGTACAGCATGTATATAAATCAGGATTTCTGAAAAGTTACTGTCATCTAGAGCAATTCAGTAAAACTAGTGCTATCATGTTAGCATTTTAATCCATGTAATGCTTTGATTAAAGACTGAATTTCTCTCTGGAGTGAACAATATCTCTCTCAAACTCCGGAAGGCTGAGAGTTGCTGGACTGCTAATGCTTCCTCAGGAGAAACCTCCTCCTTCCTTTAGGAGAAATATATTATAGATCTGCTGTAGTAAAACCTCAGGTTTTCTCTAAGCTTTCACAGTCTCATAACGTCTTGTGGGACAGTTGTGATTTGTCTATAAAAGTTCCTATCGCTGTTGGTATAATAGGTTGGATTTTAATAAATAACTGCTTTTATGCTGCTTCTTTTTCTCTTTAATTTTGCTTTGGAATGAGTTGTTTAGCCTGCTTTCTCATCTCTTGCTTTAGGCAGCTAAAATCCTAGGTAAGAGTTGACTATACACAGAGGCCAAAATAATAATGCTGACTGAACTGGTTGAGTGAGGTTTTAATCTACAGCAAGTGCAGAGCTCCTCTCAGATCGGGGTCTGTACTTTCCTAAATGAAAAATAGGGTTTATTTAGCATAAAAGAACACAATACTAATTAGATAGCAAGCAAATCTGAAAACTGAGATTGAAACTGGTTTGAATCTTGGTAGGTTTTAGATTTGCATCTTAAGATAAATTTGTCTTTATGATTTGCGTGGAATGCAGTGTCTTTAAATCCCTAGGAGGGCCGGCAAAACATTTAAACTGATGAAATTTACAATATTTGAAGTGTTCTCAAGAATGATTTGCAGTATTTTGTTGTAATCGGGCCCAATCTGAAGGCTTGTTTAGACTTATTTTCAGATGCTGACCCTTGTCTGGATCTGGGATTAAAGGCATCTGTAGCCCATTCTCTTGTGTTGCTGCAATCATCTTTTTTGTCTGTAGGTTGACCGATTTGTTAGTTAAGAGACCAAATAGTATCGTGTTTAAGGCTGTGGTAATTTTGTCACTCAAAGTACAGATTAGATTCTTTGTCTAGACCTTCATTTATTCACTAAGCCTGGGAGAACAAGCAGTTTAAAGATTTATATGCTATATAAAAGTCTCACCGAGATGCTAAGATGGTATAACATTTTGCACTTGTTGAATAGTAAGTTACTATTCAAACTATAGGTTTGCAGTGCACAGAGCCCTTCTTCACCTGTGCCATTTCGGCTCACCTTTAATCCCAGAAGGTCATGTTTACATTGGTTGTACTTGAAGTTCTGCAGATGGGATTACCTTCTCATTTCTGTAGTTCTACAGTTTCTTATTAGCTAAATTTACGTTAATTATTCTTGAATTATAATCTTGGGAGGATAAGAAACTAAAGGGACGTGTTTATTATTTGTCTTTGAACTATGTTGAACCAGACAAGTTATGAAGTGATTAGACTTGGGCTTGAAAGCATTCACAGGAAGGTGGAGAGGGGGATAACCAGGGGTTCCTAAATACCTAATTAATAAACCTAAGAGTGAGGTCTATGCATTTAAGCTTAGCTGATTAAAATATAGGGGGGTTAATTTTTCTTCTATTAATTGGAACACATGAAAATATGTAAATATGGGAAACAGAGGCTAACTCTCCCCTCCCCTTTTTTTTTTCCCAACTTGAAAAACGTATCTTGCATTTCTGAGTGCTAAAACAGCTAAGAATTTGTAGTGATAGTCAAGTGCAGTGTTTGAATGTAGGAGCATCTGTAATGGAATGTAACAATAGATTGTCATTCACGTAGAGTATAACTGACCTATTTATTGTATATTTTTATATGAAAAAACCCAAATGTGATAGTTACGGATTTAATTGTAGAGAGGATTATAAAATATTTCTGCTGTAATAAGTACTTGTGTTTCTGTGGTGAATTGACCTTGGCTGGCTGCCAGACCCCCCACCCAGCTGTTCTCTCACTCCCTTTCGACACCAGGGCAGGGAGGGGGAAATAAGATGGAAAAACTTGTGAGTTGAGATAAAGACAAGGAGAACACTGGCTACTGTCACGGGCAGAATAAATTCAACTCGAGGAATATGAATTTAATTTATTGCCAATTAAAATAGAGTAGGGTGGTGAGAAACAAAGACAAAGTACTAAACGATTTTGTCCCTCTGTCCCCCACTTCTTCCCAGGCTTCACTTCACTGACTGTTCTATGCTACTCTCCCATCCTTGAGTGGTGCAGGAGCATGGGAATTTGGGGGTTGTGGTCAGTCCATATCACTTCATCCCTGCTGCACCTTCCTCCTCATGTTGTTCCTGTGCTCCAGTGTGGTTGCAGTCACTCCTGCAAGATACAGCTCTTCACAAACTGCTCCAGTGGGGGTCCTTCCCATGGGCTGCAATTCTTGAAAAAGTGCTCCAGCGTGGGTCCTTTCCATGGGGTCACAGGTCTTCCCAGAAAACCTCCTCCAGCATGGGCTCCTCTCCACAGAGTGCAGTGCCTGCTAGGAGCCTGTTCCATCATGGGCTCTTCATGGGCTGCAGCTTCCTTCAGGGCATGTCCCACTGCTCTGGCATGGGGTCCCTCCTGGGCTACAGGTGGATATCTGCTGCACCATGGACCTCCATGGGCTGCAGGGGGATAGCCTGCCTCACCATGGTCTGCACCATGAGCTGCAGGGGAATCCCTGCTCCGGTGCCTGGAGCCCCTCCTGACCCTTCTTTTCTGCTGTCTACAGGGCTGTTTTTCTCACTTTTTTTCAGCCGTTTCACAGTGGTTTTACCCTTTTTTAATTATGCTGTCACAGAAGTGCCACACCCGTGGCTGGTGGGCTCAGCTTTGGGCGCTGGTGGGTCAGTTTTGGAGCCACCTGGAACTGGCTGTCCCCAGCATGGGACAGCCCTTGGCTTTATCCTGGAGGGGCTGCCCTGCAGCCCCCACTGCCAGCACCAGGCACCTGCATCCAATCCAGTCTCCCACTGAAGGTGAACAGTTAATATGTCATGAGATTCATCTAGATGTTGCTGAGCTTTCTAACAGCATTTGTAAGGTTGTTTTTCATAGGATAATTCTTAAATAAAGGAAACTAACCAAGGGATAAGATAGAAATAATTAAAACCCAAAAATATAAAAACCAACCAAACCCTGAGACAGGTTGGTTCCAGTGATAGATTTAATACCCCTGAACATTTAAAGGCATTCACCTGAGTGGCTGTGAAGTTACTCGGTTACACAGCAGAGCTAAAAATCATGAACAGAAAGCAAAACACATGAGCAGAAATGCAGTGTTACCTTATGAAAATGCAAAGAACCTGCCTTTTGCTTGTTTACAAATGTAGAAATCCTGTGTATATGATTTTTGTATTATTCATTGATTTTTTTCCTCTTTTGTTTGTGTTTTTTTTTTTCTTCCCCCAGAAAATATGAAGAAGCCCTGGAGCCCTGATTTACCAGTTGATAACCACTCATACAATTCAGATTTCACATCCGTCCCAGACAGGGAAGATGAGAAAGAATTAGCACCTGGTGGCACTGAAGAAAAGAAGGAAAGAGAAAAGAAAAACACCAATTTCACTTTGTGTAATGTTTGTAACATTCAGCTGAACTCTGCTGCTCAGGCACAAATCCACTACAATGGCAAATCCCATCAGAAGAGGTTAAAACAGCTCAGCAATGGAAATCTCAAAAGTGATAATGGTAAGCTTTAACATATATATACCTTTTGCCATGTTTTGATCTGAGAATTGCAGCAACATGCAGTAATGTCAATATATATGTCTAAGCATTTTTTTCTATTCAGCCATCAAATCCTTTGATGTTAAGGCAAAGTCTCTCGGTGACTTCAAGGTGCTTGGGATCATCCCTAGCATGAGCATCTGGCAAATAGCTAAAGCTATACCGTCTCTGTTGTTATGAGTGTTTTCATTTTATATTTTGTTTACACAATGATGTTGATTCAGATTCTTTCTCATTCCATTTGCATTTTGATGGTTTTCAGCATAATCAGTGATATTCCATATTTCACAGTCTACTAGGAAGGTTATACTTGTTAGGGGTATGTTTGCTTTTAATGAATGTAAGGTGGTTGCAAAATAAATTGAAACAAATACATTACACGGAACAAATATGTTCCCAAACTCATTTTGCTTTAGTTTGCTTATTCAGGGTTTAACCCATAGCTAGCATAAGTCTGTAAAGATCATGACTGAAGTCAGAGATGGAAAAAAGGCTGTTTTGATTTTCATTGATTTCATTGACAGCTTTGGGAAAATCATTTTGTAGTAGGTGGCATGCTTTCCTGTCATCAGAGTGAATTGTACGCCTCAAAGAAAAACATGTTTGTGGCGTTATGTACAAAAGTAAATCAGATAATACAGGCAAATGATGGTCTCTTGACAAGAAAAAAAAAAGAGATTACTGTGTTATAATTTTCTAAATTTCATAACAGGTAGTACTCAACTTTGTTGTAGAGCTGTACTGTATTGTTGTATTTGCTTCTAGGCACCATGTCACAGAAAGTATGGTCTTAATATGGTACACTTAGGACTTTCAGACTTTCTTTCCTCAGACCACACACATTGGTGAATATTTTGTGCCATGGGTTGCTTCCTGCCCTGTCTGCAGAAGGGTATGCAGAACACCGATCCTTAGACAGGATTTAAGAGGTATTCCAATAATCTGTGTTTTATCCTGGCTTTAAGAGTTGGGAATAATATAGGTATGTTGCTGAAGCGTGCTGGATATGAGTGCTTTGCTATGTATGAGGTGGTGTTCATTTCTTTAAAACAAAACAATAAAACAAACAAAAAAGCCCTATAACACTGAACAACACTAAGTGGCAGGACTACAACGGTTGGCACTGTTCATAGTTCAGGCTTAGGAAGAATACCGCTACCATTAGTACGATCTGTGAAAATGCATGAAGAAAGGTTGATTTCCTAATTGATTAAAAGTGCAATATGGTTATCCACAAATGCATTCTTTCTATAACCAAATAAACACAGTCTAATGTTATTGCTGTCTTCAGTTAAGGTAAAATTGTGTTACCATTATTATTAGCACAACAATTTTGCTGATGATAGAAAGTGTTTTTCTGCAGTTCAGTTTTCTGCTTTAATCCGTAGTAATGAAAGAATTAGTAATTAGCAATGCTGAAATTAGTGTCAAAAGGCCCCAGTCATTCTTCAGCATTCATATTCTAGAGAGGATCGGGGTTGTATATAGCAGCATGTTTCTTATTTCCTCCTTAAAAGTATCTCTGTGTCATGTGTTGCTGCACCCATTTGTATTCAGAAAATAGCTGATTGACTGTCTAGCTCTTTGTTTCAATGTGCAGTTATTTTGGGGGGTTGTCTGAAACTTAGAGGCTTTTCAAATCTGGCAGATCCTTCAGTATCATCAAAAGTAGTGCTCCACTAAGAGAATAAACATAGGGAAGAGCATAAGGAAGTGATTTTCCCATGACACCAAACTTTGAGATTTCATTTCTGTTTTTTTTTTTTAAACTGAACATTATGAATGAAACAGAGACCAGTATTAAATATTTCTTGCTAAAAGTTAGAACTGAATTAGAACTGAATGTTTGAGTAACCACCCTCTCTGGACTTTGAACAGAGACCCTATCTGAGGTACCTTTTCTAAGTTAAGTAGAAAGCAGAGCCTGACAGACCTGCCACAATAATAGGTTTTGTCAAAACTAGTATGTCTGAAATATGGACAATGTTTTTCGGACGAATGATTGTTTTGTTGATGAGGCCCCAGCAAGCTCAAGTGACATATGACCACGACTAAAAAAAATTCTGACTTGACCCTTTCAGTTTATCATATTCATGCAAATGACGCTTTCTGAAGGTCAGTGATGTAACTGAAGCTACTGTTGAACATGCACAGTACTGTTTATTCAATGCATGTCAGTAGGTTGCTTTATTTATGAGAACGGTCTTTCTTGTGTAGAGGTCTGATTGTCACAGAAGACAGCTGTTATGCTCAATGTCCAAATTAACAGTCTAATCATTCTTGAGACTAAATTCTGCTGCAAATTAAAACTAAATAAAGGCTCTGCTTTAGGAGATTGTCTTCTAAGGCTTCATCATCAGTAGTTATTCATTATATCTCATGAGTGAAGTACTTGCACTATGCACAAGAAAACCCCATTTCCAAATACAGCGATTCATGGACTGTACTATGGGTTGTATATGTGGGTTGGACTAGATGACCTCTAGGGGTCCCTTCCAACCTGAAACATTCTATGATTCTATGTCTTTGCAATGTTGTGTGCTCAGTTGGAACTAACGTACGTGGAAAGGTTGGGAAAAATATTGGAATTATGATTGCTGCTTGTTTTGTTTCCTCTCTGAATTATTCCCACAAAGCAGGACAGGTTTGTATATTTTATATCACGAGGGGTAATAGAAATGGTGGATTGATTTATATGAAGCAACAGCCCATGTCTTGTTCCCAAACAATTTGCAATGGACTGCTGAAGAGAGGTAGGGTTTAGCTGTATTAGCATTTGACTGTGTAATTAAAGCTGTCACTCTATAGTCATCATCTTCAAACTGTGTGAAGTAGCTTTTATCTGCTGGACATAAATAACAGCACTTTATTATACTTGAATATCTGTGTAATTTCATAAGGTAAGTTGCTTAGGCACAAAGCCTATTGACCTCTGCAAATATACAGTTAATAAACAATGTTCATTGTGGGGTTAAAAGCAGCATTTCTTTGCTGCTGTATTGGTATCTGCACCGAATTCGAACAATTCACCAGATTTACTCTACAAAGTTTTGCTACTTGCTTATCTGTCAGCTTGGCAGCTTTACAACATGATACCCACTTGGTGCCTTCCTGGGGCAGAGCAGCCGCAGAACAGCAGACTCTGCAGAGTCACAAAAATGCTGTGAGCCCATTGTTTCTTGTGTCATTACTTGGTACAGTGATTTGTGATGACTTAAAAGGACATGGTGAGACATCAGCACTTCTGTTACTGAACTGTACGTGCTTGGGAGTAACACAATTTTCCGCGTTCCTTCCTCCTCATAATTGCCTTTTATGCCACATAAAAAGGCTTCTCACACTTTCCTCATTATACCCTGTAATATATTATTCTTTCTAGTGAGTTTTTTGCCTTTTTGCTCTCCTATATGCAGTAGCAAGGTGACAAACAAGTCAGTGGAGATTTTGAGTAAGTTTTGGAATTAAAGGAGGGCAAAATGCATTTCCTAGCCGGTCTGCCAGCATTGCTTCTCACAAAACCAGCCTGGATGCTGTGGGAAGAGGTGACCTCTTGTGGGAATTCATTTATTCTGACTAGCAGGAATAAGCATGGGGTCCCTCCTGGGCTACAGGTGGATATCTGCTGCACCATGGACCTCCATGGGCTGCAGGGGGATAGCCTGCCTCACCATGGTCTGCACCATGAGCTGCAGGGGAATCCCTGCTCCGGTGCCTGGAGCCCCTCCTGACCCTTCTTTTCTGCTGTCTACAGGGCTGTTTTTCTCACTTTTTTTCAGCCGTTTCACAGTGGTTTTACCCTTTTTTAATTATGCTGTCACAGAAGTGCCACACCCGTGGCTGGTGGGCTCAGCTTTGGGCGCTGGTGGGTCAGTTTTGGAGCCACCTGGAACTGGCTGTCCCCAGCATGGGACAGCCCTTGGCTTTATCCTGGAGGGGCTGCCCTGCAGCCCCCACTGCCAGCACCAGGCACCTGCATCCAATCCAGTCTCCCACTGAAGGTGAACAGTTAATATGTCATGAGATTCATCTAGATGTTGCTGAGCTTTCTAACAGCATTTGTAAGGTTGTTTTTCATAGGATAATTCTTAAATAAAGGAAACTAACCAAGGGATAAGATAGAAATAATTAAAACCCAAAAATATAAAAACCAACCAAACCCTGAGACAGGTTGGTTCCAGTGATAGATTTAATACCCCTGAACATTTAAAGGCATTCACCTGAGTGGCTGTGAAGTTACTCGGTTACACAGCAGAGCTAAAAATCATGAACAGAAAGCAAAACACATGAGCAGAAATGCAGTGTTACCTTATGAAAATGCAAAGAACCTGCCTTTTGCTTGTTTACAAATGTAGAAATCCTGTGTATATGATTTTTGTATTATTCATTGATTTTTTTCCTCTTTTGTTTGTGTTTTTTTTTTTCTTCCCCCAGAAAATATGAAGAAGCCCTGGAGCCCTGATTTACCAGTTGATAACCACTCATACAATTCAGATTTCACATCCGTCCCAGACAGGGAAGATGAGAAAGAATTAGCACCTGGTGGCACTGAAGAAAAGAAGGAAAGAGAAAAGAAAAACACCAATTTCACTTTGTGTAATGTTTGTAACATTCAGCTGAACTCTGCTGCTCAGGCACAAATCCACTACAATGGCAAATCCCATCAGAAGAGGTTAAAACAGCTCAGCAATGGAAATCTCAAAAGTGATAATGGTAAGCTTTAACATATATATACCTTTTGCCATGTTTTGATCTGAGAATTGCAGCAACATGCAGTAATGTCAATATATATGTCTAAGCATTTTTTTCTATTCAGCCATCAAATCCTTTGATGTTAAGGCAAAGTCTCTCGGTGACTTCAAGGTGCTTGGGATCATCCCTAGCATGAGCATCTGGCAAATAGCTAAAGCTATACCGTCTCTGTTGTTATGAGTGTTTTCATTTTATATTTTGTTTACACAATGATGTTGATTCAGATTCTTTCTCATTCCATTTGCATTTTGATGGTTTTCAGCATAATCAGTGATATTCCATATTTCACAGTCTACTAGGAAGGTTATACTTGTTAGGGGTATGTTTGCTTTTAATGAATGTAAGGTGGTTGCAAAATAAATTGAAACAAATACATTACACGGAACAAATACGTTCCCAAACTCATTTTGCTTTAGTTTGCTTATTCAGGGTTTAACCCATAGCTAGCATAAGTCTGTAAAGATCATGACTGAAGTCAGAGATGGAACAAAGGCTGTTTTGATTTTCATTGATTTCATTGACAGCTTTGGGAAAATCATTTTGTAGTAGGTGGCATGCTTTCCTGTCATCAGAGTGAATTGTACGCCTCAAAGAAAAACATGTTTGTGGCGTTATGTACAAAAGTAAATCAGATAATACAGGCAAATGATGGTCTCTTGACAAGAAAAAAAAAGAGATTACTGTGTTATAATTTTCTAAATTTCATAACAGGTAGTACTCAACTTTGTTGTAGAGCTGTACTGTATTGTTGTATTTGCTTCTAGGCACCATGTCACAGAAAGTATGGTCTTAATATGGTACACTTAGGACTTTCAGACTTTCTTTCCTCAGACCACACACATTGGTGAATATTTTGTGCCATGGGTTGCTTCCTGCCCTGTCTGCAGAAGGGTATGCAGAACACCGATCCTTAGACAGGATTTAAGAGGTATTCCAATAATCTGTGTTTTATCCTGGCTTTAAGAGTTGGGAATAATATAGGTATGTTGCTGAAGCGTGCTGGATATGAGTGCTTTGCTATGTATGAGGTGGTGTTCATTTCTTTAAAACAAAACAATAAAACAAACAAAAAAGCCCTATAACACTGAACAACACTAAGTGGCAGGACTACAACGGTTGGCACTGTTCATAGTTCAGGCTTAGGAAGAATACCGCTACCATTAGTACGATCTGTGAAAATGCATGAAGAAAGGTTGATTTCCTAATTGATTAAAAGTGCAATATGGTTATCCACAAATGCATTCTTTCTATAACCAAATAAACACAGTCTAATGTTATTGCTGTCTTCAGTTAAGGTAAAATTGTGTTACCATTATTATTAGCACAACAATTTTGCTGATGATAGAAAGTGTTTTTCTGCAGTTCAGTTTTCTGCTTTAATCCGTAGTAATGAAAGAATTAGTAATTAGCAATGCTGAAATTAGTGTCAAAAGGCCCCAGTCATTCTTCAGCATTCATATTCTAGAGAGGATCGGGGTTGTATATAGCAGCATGTTTCTTATTTCCTCCTTAAAAGTATCTCTGTGTCATGTGTTGCTGCACCCATTTGTATTCAGAAAATAGCTGATTGACTGTCTAGCTCTTTGTTTCAATGTGCAGTTATTTTGGGGGGTTGTCTGAAACTTAGAGGCTTTTCAAATCTGGCAGATCCTTCAGTATCATCAAAAGTAGTGCTCCACTAAGAGAATAAACATAGGGAAGAGCATAAGGAAGTGATTTTCCCATGACACCAAACTTTGAGATTTCATTTCTGTTTTTTTTTTTTAAACTGAACATTATGAATGAAACAGAGACCAGTATTAAATATTTCTTGCTAAAAGTTAGAACTGAATTAGAACTGAATGTTTGAGTAACCACCCTCTCTGGACTTTGAACAGAGACCCTATCTGAGGTACCTTTTCTAAGTTAAGTAGAAAGCAGAGCCTGACAGACCTGCCACAATAATAGGTTTTGTCAAAACTAGTATGTCTGAAATATGGACAATGTTTTTCGGACGAATGATTGTTTTGTTGATGAGGCCCCAGCAAGCTCAAGTGACATATGACCACGACTGAAAAAAATTCTGACTTGACCCTTTCAGTTTATCATATTCATGCAAATGACGCTTTCTGAAGGTCAGTGATGTAACTGAAGCTACTGTTGAACATGCACAGTACTGTTTATTCAATGCATGTCAGTAGGTTGCTTTATTTATGAGAACGGTCTTTCTTGTGTAGAGGTCTGATTGTCACAGAAGACAGCTGTTATGCTCAATGTCCAAATTAACAGTCTAATCATTCTTGAGACTAAATTCTGCTGCAAATTAAAACTAAATAAAGGCTCTGCTTTAGGAGATTGTCTTCTAAGGCTTCATCATCAGTAGTTATTCATTATATCTCATGAGTGAAGTACTTGCACTATGCACAAGAAAACCCCATTTCCAAATACAGCAATTCATGGACTGTACTATGGGTTGTATATGTGGGTTGGACTAGATGACCTCTAGGGGTCCCTTCCAACCTGAAACATTCTATGATTCTATGTCTTTGCAATGTTGTGTGCTCAGTTGGAACTAACGTACGTGGAAAGGTTGGGAAAAATATTGGAATTATGATTGCTGCTTGTTTTGTTTCCTCTCTGAATTATTCCCACAAAGCAGGACAGGTTTGTATATTTTATATCACGAGGGGTAATAGAAATGGTGGATTGATTTATATGAAGCAACAGCCCATGTCTTGTTCCCAAACAATTTGCAATGGACTGCTGAAGAGAGGTAGGGTTTAGCTGTATTAGCATTTGACTGTGTAATTAAAGCTGTCACTCTATAGTCATCATCTTCAAACTGTGTGAAGTAGCTTTTATCTGCTGGACATAAATAACAGCACTTTATTATACTTGAATATCTGTGTAATTTCATAAGGTAAGTTGCTTAGGCACAAAGCCTATTGACCTCTGCAAATATACAGTTAATAAACAATGTTCATTGTGGGGTTAAAAGCAGCATTTCTTTGCTGCTGTATTGGTATCTGCACCGAATTCGAACAATTCACCAGATTTACTCTACAAAGTTTTGCTACTTGCTTATCTGTCAGCTTGGCAGCTTTACAACATGATACCCACTTGGTGCCTTCCTGGGGCAGAGCAGCCGCAGAACAGCAGACTCTGCAGAGTCACAAAAATGCTGTGAGCCCATTGTTTCTTGTGTCATTACTTGGTACAGTGATTTGTGATGACTTAAAAGGACATGGTGAGACATCAGCACTTCTGTTACTGAACTGTACGTGCTTGGGAGTAACACAATTTTCCGCGTTCCTTCCTCCTCATAATTGCCTTTTATGCCACATAAAAAGGCTTCTCACACTTTCCTCATTATACCCTGTAATATATTATTCTTGCTAGTGAGTTTTTTGCCTTTTTGCTCTCCTATATGCAGTAGCAAGGTGACAAACAAGTCAGTGGAGATTTTGAGTAAGTTTTGGAATTAAAGGAGGGCAAAATGCATTTCCTAGCCGGTCTGCCAGCATTGCTTCTCACAAAACCAGCCTGGATGCTGTGGGAAGAGGTGACCTCTTGTGGGAATTCATTTATTCTGACTAGCAGGAATAAGACCTCTGTTTCTACTGACAGAATGGAAAAAATAACTGTGGATGCAAATGTGTAGCAGTACCAGTGAGAAAGCTGATATTACGAAGATGTTGTGTAAACCAGAATTTCCCCTGGACTTCCTTTTGTGTAAATTGCTGAATGATGACGAGTGAATGAGGCATGCTTAGGACAAAAACTAAAACTGCTTTTCTCTGCAATAACTTCTACAATACATTAGATAACAAGTGGGAAAATGATGAAGGAGCTAAGAAATGCCCCAAAATTCATAGAACACCTTTCACTTTAAAAACTGATTTCTGAAACATTTTTGTTTTGAAACACAGGAGCCAGTGATGCATTTGGCAGTTGAGTCCTTATCTAGCTCTCTGAATTCATAACCCAGGCAAATGACTATCCAGTTTATCAAGTTTCATTTACTTTCTTTTAAACTAAACCCACTTGAAACTTTTTTTTCAGTGAAATTTTGTCTTAGTAAAATGTTACTGTACTGTGAACAAGGACAGTGGGTGCATGGAAGAAAGAAAGGGAAAAGATCAGAATTAAATATTATTCTTTTTATCTCTTGATGATTGCAAAAAGCAAATCTCTTAATTTAGCGCTAGATATTACTTAAGAATGAATAACATATTGTTTGCTACAGTTACACTGAAATATACACTAAAATAGGAGAAAAACCTGTTTCAAATATTTTATTTTTTTCAACCGCATTTGGTGGTTGAATGTAGTTTCCCACAAAAACTCTTGAGATGACGATTCTCTAATATCTACACAGTAAATTTTTGCACATTGGTCAAAGAGAATATTTAACCCTTTACAACTTTTTTATTTTTTTGCATCTAAATCCTGATTTTTACCGTCCTGCAGGTAGAGACCCCAGAAGATTCATCTAAGCCAGTTGCAGTCTCCTTCCTAGGACTTTTCTGTTGCTAGTTCCTTTCTAGTTCTGTGCTGCTGCTGCTGTGCTTTACATGTCTGCTGTCGCATTTTTTGTTCGTGAAAACTGGCAGCTTTGAGGCAGACAGGATCTTACTTTAAGGTGGTAAACTACGAAGCTACAGCTTTCAGGGAAATGGTGTTGCCTGCTCTATTCATTGCATTAGTTCCTCCTTTCAGAGAAAGAGGATTGGGTAGGGTATTGAGGAATGGAGGAAATCTTCAGACAAAGTATATTCTCCTTCAGAGGAAGGGGTTTTCTATTAGTTACCTGGGAAACAAATATTGTCTGATCAGCTTGAGATATCTCTGGAAGTCATGTCTCTAGCAGTGACCTATAACATGTTCTTCTCAAGATAAGGCAAGAAATTGCACCATAACAACTATTTTACTGTTTTGTGGTTGCAAACTTTTTTTTGTTGTTAATGCCACGTTCTGATGCA